CTGCTGTCTGTCAGCACACATATCGCACGATTTTTATATTTCCTTTCTAAATTAACTTTCAAGCAGATGTCTGTTGTATATCCTTTTGCTTGAAATATCGATCAATACGAGTACATGTTCGCGCTTAAACGCGTGTCCGACCGAACTCCGTATATTAGGGAGTCACAAAGTACGCTTTGAACCATAGACTCAAATTAATCAGTGTACCATAGACTCAAATTAATTTCAAAAAGTGGATCACCCTGCACCAAAATGAATCGATCAGGCAACATCACTTTCTGTCCGCAATCCAATTTATATCGTGGGTGACAGGCGTCCGAGATGACTATCCTGAGAGTGGGGTCATTGTCGACTAAAATTATATGATCAGTTAAAAATCGGTATATATAGTTAGCAGAGCTTCCTGCACAATGCAGACGATCATTGATGATAATCCAATGAATGCCTTCAAAGTAGCTGTGGGATCCGTTGGCATGGGCTCAGTCAGTCTCAGGCAACCAAGCCCCTGAAGCTTCCCCGGCTTGGGTTGCACAATCACTGTCTCCACCTTGTTGTATTATACCGCGGCATTTACATTTTGGATAGCTTACGTTAGTTATTGAATAGTGTAGATTAATAACCAATCTTCACTCATATAAGTTAGCAAGCTCCTTGAAATTAATAATAAATTGATGTTGTGCTGTAATTGCGAGTTTAGAAAATGAAATTTAAGATTGATTCAAGCGATTTACTCAGAGGTTCAATCAGAGAATCTTTGTGCGATTGTGTTTGGTTCAAAGTTATATTGATTTATCGAATCACACTGAACTAAACTGGCATGTGTTATGATATTATGGTTGCAAAAACAATTGAACTGAAGTGCGCGAGTTAACATTAAATAGTATAAAACGAATATGTATACATAAGTGTATATAAAATCTAGTATATAAGTCAACCATTGCTTTTTATTACTATAAAAATAATATTCAAAAAACATAAAATTTATATTTTTTATGATATGTAACAATACAGTTCTAAAACAGTCAGCATACAATATGTTGTTTGTCATTTAATAATTTCATTTTAAGTGGGAAATTCAAAATGTTATACATTTATGTTACACATAAATAATTTATGCTTATTATACTACGTTTGAACTTAGTGTACAAAGTGTGTCAAGAAAAAATGAAAAGAAGGTTGTTAGTATTAGTAACTTAGGAAGATTATGATTACTAAAAATTTCATGCACGAAACAATTTTACTCTGCAGTTCATAAAGACAATAAAGAAGCTGGCCAAATATGAACATGTTTGCCATTTGTGAGTTATTACTTGTCTGAAAAAAAAATCATTTTTGTATTTACAAAATAATTTATTTACCTGAATTCCGAGAATTTAGATTAGTACCCGAACTTTACAAAATTTTTTCAACGGTAAATTGTGGCATGATGGGCTGTTCTATTTTTTCTTGTGATATGAAGCCAGGCAGAACAAGAATAGCTCGCTGGCAAAATTTAGGCATCCTTTCAAAACTTATTCGATGGTACGCCACATACTTGTATATAATATTATTTTTTAAAAACTTTCGAAGCCTTCTGGAGAGACTGGAGTCTCGTTGAGAAAACTTTCAAAAATACCCTCCGAAAACTCGTAGAAATCTTTGAAATGTTCTTTAAAACTGGGTGACTTAATTAAAATTGTTTGTTTTGGACAAAAAAAAGGGCCAATATTAGTTCCGTTTGCAGTTTGCACCTTATCTATAGAACTACTTGTATTTTTTTTTAAATATTGTACATAATTGGAATAAATAAAAAGAAAGGAAGAGATAATTGGTCACTTTTATTTTAATTAACAAAGATGTCACATGCTTCACATTCATATTTTTTTTCATATTTAGTATAGCAATTTGTAACTTATACTTGGATACGAGACACTTTGTACTATAGATAATTTTGAAGTTAAACAGTTTGTTTTTTTTTTTTTTTTACTATTGATTGGAAATAAAAATACCATAGTTTTTTCTATAAAAATAAGTGATAAATATCACGCAAATCTACACTTCCATTACTGTTATATTTTTTATATTTTTTCATTGATTATAAACACTGACACCTCTTAACACTGCCTAATATTATGCAAAAGTGTTTATACACACATGTATGTATAACGAATATGAATTGATCGATGTGTTGAAATTCTAAGGAAAACCATAAATGAGTTTTTCTTTAAAAATCAAAGCCTAATATTTTCAGTCAATCTTTGGATGGGCGACAAAAAGGTTCTTAATCTACATCCTTTTTTAATAACGCTGCTTCCCGCTTTTAAAATAATTAAATAAATGCAAAAAATTTATTATGGCTCTTTTTTTGTTAATTTTTAAAATTTAAATTAATTTTAAATTGTTAATTATGGGAATTGATAAACTAATAAAATAGAAATTAAGTATGTATTCATTTAAAATGAAATTTATGTTTTGCAAAAATAATTTATTAATTAATCCAATAAAAATTTAAATTTTAAATTTAATTTTAAAAAAATTTGAAATAAGTTTGTTAAGTTCGTTAAGAAGAGTATTAAGAAGAAACTGCTTTAGAGTCAAAAATTTTCAAGTTTCTTTAAAAATCGAGAAAATGATAAATATCTTAGAAATATTGAGTCAGCCGCTTAATATTTCTTAACAAAATCTTGTGGGAAAAGTGTTAAATTATGTGAAACTATTATATTTACAAAAAAAGATTTAAATTAAAAATTAAAAATTTTAAATTCCGCGACTACAATTTTTTTTTCATTATGTAACGAAATTGTGAGACGGATTCAAGTATTTCTGTTCCACGCTGTAACAAAATGAAAGTCTAAAAAAAATGTCAAAAGATAAGTTTGACATTGAAAAGAAGTGAAGCTTTACATAAAGAGAAGTCTAGTAAAACATCATAAGATCTTCAATTGTTACAATTAATTGATATTAAAAATCGTGAAAAAAATCTAAAAATTAATATTGAAGCTTTTTTGTCTCTCTCATTTAATTGATCATTATTTTCTGTGCCAAATATTAACGAACTGTGTAAAAGCAGAACTGTGCAATCAACTAAAGTGACAAAAAAAATTTTAAATCAATTGAAAATTCAAAAAAAAAATTTGATCAAAACTGAAAAAAAATTCAAACTAGTTTAAAATTTACAAAATATTTTATTGAATAATTAGAGACTATGCGTAACACTAATAACATTGTGGAACTCGGAACCGTTTGAGCATCAAACTGTAGTTCACTAAAAATGTAAATCATATTCAATTTAATTAAGCTGGTGAAAAAAGACAATCCGTTCAAAGTTCCATTATTAAATCCATTTCAAGATTTTTTTACGATATTTTTGAAATTTTTTTATCGGTCCTTTGTCACAAATTTTATTTCTGGAATGTTAAGAGAGACGCTCAGTAAATTCGAGAAAACTGCGTTTGAAATATTTAAATATTTAATTTTTGAGAAAATTTTTAAAAGGTAAAAACGAGCTTACGTCAAAATACAGTGCAAAGAAGAGTAAACAAGGTATTTTGAAAATATAAAACAATTCCTCAGGCCATTACATTTGTATTCAACATAATAACTAATTTTTGCAAAAATGTTGGATAGACGGCTAATGCACTGAGCGCCTCAAATATGATATGGGGGGCTCAATTCACTCCCCTGTGATACACTCGAATTGTTGTCTTTCAGCGAATAATAATGAACCGTGTTTCTTTCCAAAAACACTATTAATTTTTTTGGTCTGCAAAATTTTTGGCCCATATACTTCTAATATTTTATGTGCTGAGGAGTAGCTGTACACTTGTCATTGGAAAAATTTCACAAAAATAAAACAAAAACTAAATTTAAAGTAATTTTTTTTATCAAAGAAGCTTAATTTACATTTATGGTATTTTCAAATTTAGAAATTTTTCTTTCAGTGTAAACCGATGAATTCTATTTGTAATAAAATTTGTAATCTCAGTATGTTAATTAAAAAGATTTTATTTGCCATGAGGCTGTTTAGTTCAAATCGTAAAATTTTGATTTTGTTAAAGATTATTTTGTTATTAAGTTGTTAACATTATAAATTATATGACATTTATTCCTCTTTGTAAATGTAACGAAAAGTTATGAACTAAAAACTTAGCTTTGTTTGGGATTTAAATTGAATCTTAATCTTACTAAATAGCAAATTTGTTATTAAAATATTAATAAGAATAAATGTAATTCACACGAATTAAATGATTTTCAGCTTAGTTTTTATATCAATAGAATAGATAGAACAATTTTCAATAAATAATTAAAAAAAAATTAATCACAACAGTTCTGAAAGGATGGGGGTACGTTCTTTAAAATATTGATAAATAATTTTTCATCCTTATGTTGAATGCTTACTAATATTGTTAGGAGCCCAAGAAAAATCATTTACTAGATTTGAACATTAACATTCTCTCTGATATTTCATAATTTTTTATTAAATTCCTAAAAAACAAAATGCTAGTACTATTGCTTAAAAACTGCTTTAACAGAATTTTTCTTAGAAATTTTGTAAAATCATATTGAACTATAAAAATTTTGTATTGGGGGCTTACATTTAAGCATTTATATTGATATTAGCTAATTTAAATTTTGTTCATGTATAAATATTTAAATTGTAATTTAAAAATATTCATACATCGATAAGTAGATTAATTGTTCAGATAATTTCGTGCTTTTTAATTATATCATCATCCGTGCCGATTTATCAACAGCAACACACTGCTTTAGCAATGCACTTAATTATACGACAACAAATTTAAATTCATAAAAGCATTAACAATGTAATAAACGCCGTAGTTATCTGCCTCAAGGATTTCGAAGTTTTCCATCATTTTTGTGTATTTATTAAAATCCAGAACAAAAACAAATTCCATTGACCATTTTCATAGGTTTTCAATTTTTAATTTACTAAAAATAGTAAAAAAATAAAAAAAAATTAATAATTAATACATTTATTTTTTTTTTTAAATAATTTTTAGTCACGTGCACAAACTCCAGTTCATTTAGTTGCAAGTCGGCAAACTGGAACCGCAACAAGTATTCTACGAGCTTTATTGGCGGCGGCAGGAAAGGATATCAGATTAAAAACTGACGGGGTAATTTTATTGTCTTTTATTTTATTGAATTTTTTTTGCTTTTTTTTCATTTGCTTTTTATTTATCATAAAATGCCTTAAAAATATTCAAAAACAATAGTGATTGGTTTATAACATTTAAAATCGATTTATTTGGAGTATAAAAATCGAAAAAATAATAATTGAAAAAAAAAACAATTTGTAGTTGGAATCGAATTGAAGAAAATTTCATGAAAACGAACACGTTTTCTAATATTGAACAAAAGATTGACACCTCAGAAATTTAAGCAAACAAAAAAATTGATTTCTTCTGTTCCGAAATTATTGAAGTGTCAAATTGGTTGAAATAAACTTCAAATATAAAATTTATATTTTATTTAACATTGGGCAGTTTGGGTCAACAATCTTCAATTAACACGAACTTTTATTTCTAGTACGAACAAAAATTTTAATTAAATTTTTCAACACCGACAGCAATATGTCGTATTCAACCTTTTACAACTCATAAAAACTACTCAATACACTTTCTTTACACATCTACAACAGTCTTGATTTTAAAACAAAACATCAAACATGTGAGCAATTAAAAATTAATTTGATGAAAAATTTTCAAGTTTTTCAGCTGAAAAGGGTCAAGACAAAAAAATTTTTTTTTAAATTTAACCGCACGAGAAATCAGAACCTATAATCGATATAAAAGAGTTTTTTTAAATTATCAATGGTTGGTGTTCCAAAGCAATCGTTATCAAAGAAAAAACATTATCAAGAACGTATTAGAAGCGGTAGAAAAGGTCATATTTGTAAAGCAAAAGAAAAACCACCGAAAAAACCTCGGGTTAAAAGAAAACGTGGCCCTTTAAAAAATCAATCGAAAAAAGATAATCAAACTGATGACAAAACTGAGGCAGGAGAGGTATTAAAAAAAACCCCCTACATATGTATTCTTATTATTATTGTAAAATTTCTGATGAACTCAATTGTGTGATGCGTGCCAATAATTTTGACAATATATATATGTATCTTATTGTATTGTAAATACGAATGTTATAAATATGTAGATAATTGTAATTGTACTTATATGTAAAATATGCACATGATAATTTTTGAGTGTTTTCATAAACAAAACTATGAATTTTTATAGGTTTTATGTATATACAAAAATCGTACAACATTTAATCGAACAAGTGCTAAAAAAATTATTAATTTTGATCTTATTGAAATTAAAGAAATCACTGGCAACGTATTTTAAGTGAACTTTGAAACTATATTAAAAAAATATCATACTTCTTAGTAAAATTTGCAGAGAATCTGAATAGCATGGTGGCTAATATAAAATGACTGGATACAATGACGTTCATACAATGCCCTAGTCCGAAAGTTTGTTATTTTAGGCGGATAATTCTTTTCTATCCTAGCGTTGTAAGACTGAGGGAAACTTTTTTGTGTATAAAAGCACAAATATTTTAATGGCTTGTTGGTGTCTTGCCGTATCCAGCCATTGTACATTTGATTATAAACTTTAGTTAATAACTTATTCAGCGACCTGGTGTTTTTCACCGTAACTTGAAACCCATATGAACCTGCTTGCACTATTTATAAAAGTCTTTTAATTTTATTAGCCGATATATCGGATGGTTTCTTTCAAACACAACACAGCCGTATGTTTATCCGCCGGAAATAAGGCTTAACACATGACTTAACACGTCTCTAAATTAGGAGTTAGGACTCTGTCTATTTCCTTCGTTAGTATGCAATTCGCAAACTCCAAATCCTACAAATATTGAGAAGAAATGTAATTCAACGCGTACACCCTTTACATTTACATATATAAATTACATACCTGCATATCTATAACAAGTGTTGAAATTTAAAATTAAACAGCATTTTATTCTATATACCCCAAAGGTGAATTTCATTTTACCACTAAGGTTAATTTAAATTATACAATCCGCATTATTCTTCATTCACAATGAGTCCTTTATTATTTTTTTTTTCTAATAAATACGCATATAGTATACGTATAATGAACGTTAACATGTTCGTTCATGTTTCTCTCGTGATAGACAATAAATAGCTTTATAATACGAGTTTACACTTCTTGAGACTTTTTTTTTTTAAATAATATTCTGTTAATGAATAAGTATCGAAAAGTTATTGTTAAACTATTTTAAGTATTTATTGATCTATAAAAAATGTCTAGGAAATAACAAAAACTTGTAAATATAACAAATGCCGTACTACTATATATAGACAGTGAAAATAAAATGAAGACATCCAATACTAGGATCTCATTAATTATTGTGTGTTAACTTAGAAAACCACTTCCGATATTTGTGTGATAATAAAATGCAATTTTTGAAATTGAGATTTATTTTTAAAAAAAATTTAATGGGAAATTAAAATTTTACCCACATTGATTTGAAAATGATAAAGTTCAGGAAATGAATATGGAAAACGAAGAAAATTTAATAGAATGAGATTTATAATTCCGTAGAATGTAAGTGCTTCATGATGACGCTTCGGGAATTTGATTTTTAAATTATTTAATTGATTTGCAGTTGATTCAAATGATTTCATATAGCGAAATTGTAATAAAAATTTTTGATTATTTCTGCAATTTAGTGATTATATTCATACCTTGGTATCCTAGTTGAGAAAACGTCCGCCTGCTCCACGTTATTCATCCGTTCTGCAAATGTATATCAATATAATTTGTTTCCATAATTATTTTATTTGTTATAAACTTAAGTTGTTGCCATTTTATCTTGAATATCAAACATATTTCAAGCGGAATTAGATATTCATTTACGTTCATTTATATATGAAGAAGTTCCTACAAAAGATGAATGAAAAATAATGATATTTTAACAAAATAAACTTGTACTGCTATATACATAACGTATAGTAATAATTATTATTTAGCTAGACTCTTTAATTTTATTTAATAATTGTAAATTTGTAAGTGAAGCGGAAATAATGTTTCTAAGTTTTTATTTATGAAATTGTAAATTAAGGCATATATACGTTTTCCAGGGGAAACAACCTTTTACATATATTCATATATTTCTACATATATGTACATATAATATAGTGCATATTACAATTCTATCTTTCAATAATCTATAATAATGAAATGGTATATGAATTTACATTATTATGATTTACAAATTTATCATAGGTTATACCTTTATTGAAAATCTATTTTTCCGTTTAGGTTTTTAATGTCTATCTTCGCGTCTTATCCTTATAGAAATCTATTATAGGTTGTTTAAATTTTGTATTTTTTTGTGCCAAAATGATTTTATTAACTGCTGTCAAGTATAAATATGGCAGCTAGTAATTATAAAAACGCACAAATTTAAACAAAACGCCTGGTCCTATAGAACATTATGTATAAACCTATTAATTTAAATATCATTTGTTTATATTTTTTATATAAAAAATAAAAAGCCATCTACTGGAATAATGCGTAACTACTAAATTAAATATATATATTACCGAATTCAATATTTAATTTATTCTTCATAATTTCCACAAAACAAAAACAAACTTACATAGTAAATGTTTAAAAGTTTAATTATAAGATAAAAGAAGTCACTTAAATATTTGGCACTTTTGGTGTAACTGTCAAATATACAAACTGACCAAATCGGACTCCGTTTTCTGTAGATTCTGCGGTGACGACATGGCTGATATATATTCGGTATGACTGTTTTATTCTGGCCATCAGTGCTCGGAAGGTCTCGTCTCACACCCTGAGTGATGTATCCGGATATTTACTTGGGACAGGTATAGTATAAGTATAGGATATGGGAGTGCTATAATAAGTCATAGCTGGCTGCGTTGGTTGAAGGTGAATACTTCTTTGCTCATATCTCTCTATTGTAAACTATAATTTACAATCTACAACCGTCAATTACCTAAGAACGCTAACTCTCATTATATTTTATGAGCTTATGAATTGAATTTTTTTCTAATGCTATTTCAATATATCAACAAATATTTGATTATCTTAGAATAAGATAGGATAACTTTTTGGTTTTTTTTTCGTTTTTTTTTTGTTTTTTCCTTTGATTCATTTTTGCTCATTTATGTTAACTTGTTAGCATGTCGAACATTTTTGATGTTATCAATTAAATTTTTTTGTTTCTATGCCAGCGAATTTATTTAGACGACTGGTACTGATATAATTTTAAGAATTTAAATATATTAGAAAATTGAATAAATATTTTAAATCTATTATACAATATAATAATATTCCGTATATTACAATATAAATTAAAAATATCAAAAGTTCAAGTATATTATTTTTTATATAAACATTTCACTCCGACTCTCCAGTGTATAAGTGTAAACTACTTGTTTTTAAATATAGAAAATGTCAAACATGCGAGAAAAATTTTCAAGTTAAATTCGTTTTGTATTTGATAATTACAGCTACATATACAAAAAATTTCATATTGTATGAAATTTTGACTGAATATGGAGAGTACCCCTCGTCTAACAAAAATTGTTGCTAAGAACATCGTAACAAGGCTAATCAACAATTGTTGTCAAAAATATTAAATGCAAATTAAATCATTGTATATCTTTTAGTATCTTTGTATATATGTACTGTATATATATATATATATATATATATATATATATATATATATATATATATATATATATATATTTGTAAATTTAATTCTTGCACTATAAGGAATAAATAAATTGTACATACATACTCGTATTCTTACTCTACCATTTTTTTTTTTTACTTTTTATTTTGTTTTTGTGTTTTTCAATCAAAATTCCTGTACAAAATATTCAAATTAAAAACATAAAAAACTTAGAATCTTTTGGGTGTTTTCTTGAACAACTTGTAAAACAAAAAAAAAAAACCAAAAAAAAAAATCAATAAAATAATTTCCTTTGTGTGTTTTTTAATTTTTTTTTTTTGTATATTAAATTTAAAATAATAATTGTATAAAATAAAATTTAATAATATTAGTTAAAAAATACAAAATTAAATAAAAATAAAAATGGCCGGCAAAGATCTTAAACCACCAACAAAATTAAAAAGGCCAAGTACTTTAAAAGTTAAAAAATTAGAAAAATTGGTCAAAGAAATGGATGAAAATGACAAAATCAAACCACTTTTATCAAATAGTAGAAAATTTTCATGGCAAAGACTAATTAAAGATCTTGTTGATTCACAGAGAGGTAAAATACCATTGCTGTTAGCTGTTGAAGCTGGAAATCAATCAATGTGTAGAGAGCTTCTATCATCACAGACTGTAGATCAATTAAGGGTAAGTGATTTTTTTTTTTCAAAAAAAAAAACCAAAAAAATATTAGTGAATGGTCATTTTTGTGAGATTTTTATTTTAATATTATTGAAATTTTTGTGTTTTTTTGACAAAACGAAAAAAAATTGTTCGCACAACAAAATTATTAATTAAAATTACAAAAATATCAAAAATGTTTTTTTTTATTATTGTAAATACAAATTTTAAAAACAAAAAAAAAACGTGTGTAGTTAAGCAATTCAAACTCCTATAAATATGCAATCCTTATGTAAATATGTTCTTTCAAAAATACAAAGAAAAATATTTTAAATTTCACACCTAGCCCTTTAAATACCAAAGTTTTTGTATCTTAAATCAAAAAATAAAAATTTTTTTTTCTTTTTCTCGTTTTTGAGCAAAAAACAAATCTTTTCTTTTTATTTTTGTATTTTCTTTTGTTTCTCGATTCTTCTTTTTTCTTGCAGAATCTTAAAATTGTTTAATCTTAAAACTAAACTGCAGAACCAAAAAAAAATAATATATAAATACAAAAATAAAAAATAAAATAAAAACAACACTATACAATATTAAATATGAATCGTTTTCAAAAACCTTTTTCAAATAACGATGATTCAAATCGTTTATTATTAGTACCGATGGTTGATCCATCATCCCGTTCAACTAGACCAATAAGTGGTGCTGATTCCGGTAATTATCCCGGAAAATTTTCTCAACGTAATAAAACTGATACAATGAGTCGTGTATTAAAATCATTTTCCCAACATGATAAATGTGGTAAAGATCCATCTGGATTAGATATACTTAAATCATTACAACAGAGGAGCTCAAATAAACAAGGAGATCAATCGGGAAAAAACTATAGAGATTTATGGAATAATAGCATCAAAACAATACAAGTATGTTAAAATTGTTAAGATGTTTTTTGTACATATTAAAATTATGTATGCATTTTAATTTTTATTTTTTTAAAAATTCTTTATAATATAGCCTGCTCTCAATTCTCTCGAAGCGGCAAAATCTAATAAACAAATAAGAGAGTTACTATATAGAAACTTATATATTTACAAATATAGTTGAATTTCTAAATAATCCTCGAATACTACAAAAATTTCTTTAAAAACTATTTGTAATTAACAATCAATAGAAAATAATCGAATCTTAAAATAGTTTCCCATAAAATTATTAATAGAATTTATGTAAGGAATAATTAAAGGCTAAATTAGAGAATTTTGAAGAAATAAATATTAAAATCATGACTGTAATAAACAAGTCGTTGCTACGTAAAAAATATGTACAACATTATTTCTAAATTTCATAGTAAAAAAAAAAACAATTTAAGTATAATTAAAAAATAGAGAAAACCTACTTTTTTTTGGTTGCTAGAAACTTGAATATTTTCAAATGAGTTTTCGTTTATTGAGAGAATAGGTGTAAAAATTTTCAATGAAATTTAAAAAGAAAATTGCATATTTGCAGGATCTAAGAGTAATGTAGTGTTATTATTTTGTATAGATATCTTGTATTCTTGTACTAAATCAAATTTAGTGCGCGAATATCGTAAAGTTTTGCATTTAGGGAGTTTTTCAATAAATTTAGTTTAAAAATTTTTGCTTATTTTTTATCCTAAATTTACAAATTTATACTAAACAAACTTTATGTATAGCATCGCTCCTAACTTTATCCTCTTAAAATAAATTAAGAACCTTAAAATCGGTTATTCGAAAACGATACGTTTTAAATAAGTTGAAAATTCTCCGAATTAGATTATTGATCAACTGACCTCAATTTTATTTACGTAATTATAAAAATTTTCTTAATTAGTAATCGAATTATAATTTCGAGATAATATATTTTTCGTAAGAGTTAGGAAATCGAAATTACATAATTGATTAAAATTTTTTATTTTCAAAATTTTAGAAAATTTCTAAATCTTTACGTCCAAATACCTACATACTCATATTACATAACAGTTTCAACTATACATAACATAAAATTATTTCATACTTTACAAAAAAATACTAAAATCTTATGAATAGGCAACAACAGCAAATGGCGACACCGCTTTACATTTAGCAGCTAGACGGCGAGATGTTGATATGTGCAGAATTTTAGTAGATTATGGTACAAATGTTGATACACAAAATGCTGAAGGTCAAACACCATTACATATTGCTGCTGCTGAAGGTGATGAACAACTTGTTAAATATTTTTATGGTGTTAGAGCATCAGCTTCGATTGCTGATAAACAAGGTAAATATTATTTTAATGAATTTCTGCAAAAATATTGGAGTAAATATACAAACGTTTCTATTTAAATTGAATTTACTAATAAAACTTTAACATTATTATATATAAATTTTAATTTTTTTATAAATTTTCAATTTATTTTTAATATTAAATGGATAAACACTAAATCTGAACTAAATAATTATTAATATAGGCTGATAAAATTTTTAAAATGAAATTCTAGTGTAACTAAATAAAAATTAATAAAAATATAATTTTATTTTAAATTAAGATCGAACACCAATGCATTTGGCAGCAGAAAATGGTCATGCCCATATTATTGAAATATTGGCTGATAAATTTAAAGCTAGTATATATGAACGAACAAAAGATGGCAGTACTTTAATGCATATAGCATCTTTAAATGGTCATGCTGAATGTGCCACAATGTTATTCAAAAAAGGTGTATATTTACATATGCCGAATAAAGATGGTGCTAGAAGTATTCATACTGCTGCCAGATATGGTCACACCGGAATTATAAACACGTTATTGGCAAAAGGTGAAAAAGTTGATGTAACAACGAATGTAAGTTAAACTAAAAAATAAGTAAATTAAAAAGTACTTAGAAATAAATTAAACATTTTTAAACATATAAAACGTAAATTTTTGTTGATTTCAGGATAATCATACAGCTTTGCACATTGCTGTCGAATCCGCCAAACCAGCAGTTGTTGAAACTCTTTTAGGTTTCGGTGCTGATGTTCATGTAAGAGGTGGTCCATTACATGAAACACCCTTACATATAGCTGCTAGAGTGAAAGATGGCGACCGATGTGCCCTTATGTTATTAAAATCTGGTGCTGGTCCAAATCTTACAACAGATGATGGTTGGACACCTGTTCATGTAGCTGCTAAAAATGGAAATTTAGCCACCTTAATGTTATTATTGGAAGACAAAGGGGATCCATTGTCTAAGTCAAATGTAATATTAAAATATTAATGTTAATATTTTAGCCTTTTATCTTATAGTAAAGCCTCTATCTACATAACATATACCTAAACCTGATATATATGTACCAAAGTTTCAGTTTCTAATACATATATGAACTTTCCTTTCCTTCTTGAATAAAAAACACACTTAAAATTTCACTTAAAACAATTTTGTTTATAAAATAAAGGTAAATGTAAAGAAACTCTCTAACACTATCTCTTCCTTATTAACAAACTATCTTCTTTTAACCTATGCTTAATTGAAATGATTTTATATTATAAATAATTTAAATGCCTTGTCATTCTCATCAAATGAATCATTTATTATTTATGCATTTCTCTTTTTTCATAAAATTAAATCAAAAATAATAATAATGTAGATTGGTGAAACACCACTACATTTAGCTTGTCGTAACTGTCATCCAGAAATTGTTAAGCATTTAATAGACACAGTGAAAGAAACTCGTGGAGCCGAAATGGCCTCCAAATATATTAACAAATTAAATGATGAAGGAGCGACTGCATTACATTATGCTTGCCAAATTACAAAAGAAGACGTTAAAATTCCTGAATCTGATAAACAAATTGTTAAAACTTTAATAGAAAACGGGGCGGATGTAAGTGTACAAACAAAAGCAGCGAATGAGACAGCATTTCATTTCTGTGCTGTAGCGGGAAATAACGATGTTTTAACAGAAATGATATCACATATGAATCCAACTGATATACAAAAAGCATTGAATCGTCAGTCATCTGTTGGCTGGACTCCACTTCTAATTGCTTGTCATCGTGGTCACATGGAACTGGTTAATACACTACTATCGAATCATGCAAGAGTTGATGTATTTGATATTGAAGGACGTTCAGCATTACATTTAGCTGCAGAACGTGGTTACCTCCAAGTATGCGATGCATTATTAACTAATAAAGCTTTTATAAATTCTAAATCGCGTGTTGGTCGTACCGCATTACATTTAGCCGCTATGAATGGTTTTACACATTTAGTAAAATTTTTAATTAAAGATCATAATGCTGTTATAGATATTTTAACATTACGCAAACAAACTCCATTACATTTAGCAGCAGCAAGTGGCCAATTAGAAGTATGTAAATTATTACTTGAACTTGGTGCAAATATTGAAGCCACTGATGATTTGGGACAAAAACCCATACATGTAGCAGCACAAAACAATTATTCTGAAGTTGCCAAATTATTTTTACAACAATTAGGAACACTTGTAAATGCAACAAGTAAAGATGGGAATACGTGTGCACATATTGCTGCAATGCAAGGTTCAATTAAAGTAATAGAAGAATTAATGAAATTTGATAGGCCTGGCGTAATATCAGCACGTAATAAATTGACGGAGGCGACACCATTACAATTAGCAGCAGAAGGTGGCCACGCGGATGTAGTGAAAGCTTTAGTTCGAGCTGGTGCTTCATGTACTGACGAGAATAAAGCTGGTTTTACTGCATTACATTTGGCCGCCCAAAATGGACATGGACAAGTTTTGGATGCATTAAAAAGCACAAATTCATTAAGAATCACTAGTAAGAAATTAGGTTTAACACCGATTCATATAGCAGCTTATTATGGTCAAACGGATACCGTTAGAGAATTATTAGCTAGTGTACCTGCCACTGTAAAATCTGAACCGCCAAATGGTGGGGTTTTCATTCCTGAGCTCGGAAATGAATCTGGATTGACACCTCTACATTTAGCAGCATATTCTGGTAATGAGAATGTCGTTCGTTTATTATTAAATTCAGCTGGTGTTCAAGTGGATGCTGCAACTACCGAAAATGTAAGTTATTTTTTTTTAAGAAAACTATAAATTCTAGAAATTTAACAGAGAATAATCATAAATTTTTTAAAGATTGCTTTAAATACCTCATTATAAAAAAATATTTAAATGAAACATTTTAAATATTTTACTTAAACCTAAATTTAAATTAATTAATTTTTTGACTAATCAGAAGTGAAAACGGAATAAAATATCAATAATTGTCGATTAAAATAACTGTATATTTCGATTTAAATTAACTTATTTTTTCTTACAGGGCTATAATCCACTTCATTTAGCCTGCTTCGGTGGTCACATGTCAGTGGTTGGTTTGCTTCTAAGTCGTTCAGCAGAACTCCTCCAGTCAGTGGATCGGCATGGCAAGACCGGTTTGCATATAGCCTCAATGCACGGTCATTACCATATGGTGGAAATTCTGCTGGGTCAGGGAGCTGAAATAAATGCAACCGATAAGAATGGTTGGACTCCACTGCATTGTGCTGCCAAAGCCGGCCATTTGGATGTCGTTAAATTATTATGTGAAGCTGGTGCTTCACCAAAATCAGAAACAAATTACGGTTGCGCTGCAATATGGTTTGCAGCATCTGAAGGACATAATGATGTTTTAAAATATTTAATGAATAAAGAGCATGATACATATGGTTTAATGGAAGATAAACGTTTTGTTTATAATTTAATGGTTGTTTCAAAAAATCATAATAATAAACCAATACAAGAATTTGTTCTTGTTAGTCCGGCTCCAGTTGATACAGCCGCAAAATTATCAAATATATATAATGTGATGTCAACTAAAGTAAGTCATAATATTTATAAAATAATCTTAAAGTAATATTACAAAAAAAAAGTAGCAAATATTACTTTAAGAATTTATTTTATTTTAATTGGCACGCATGCAACATGTTTTGTTGTACTACAACATAAAAGAAAATTCAGATTTTTTTTTTAATTTTAAGTTTCTAAATTTTATTTTCTTCTTTTTTTCAAATTTTACTTACCATTTTATAGCAATTTCAATTACAGATTTTACTAAATTTTATTTTATATGACCTCCAAAGTTTTTATGATCACTTCTAGATTCTTTCAATTTGATATAACTTTCTTCCTAACTTTTATTTACTTTTATTTAAAAACTCAAATTTAAATTCAACTTCGTGGTATATACAATGACACTTTGCATTTCAATAGCGAAATGTCAAAAACTAGTAAACAAATTTACTTTTCTTGTTCAATATTTAAAATGATGTTCAGCAGTTTCGCGTGTTTCTTGCTCAAGTTACAAAACTCACCATACCACATTTGTTCAACAGAAATTTTTCTCTTTACTTACTCAACTTTGCATTGAAATTCATTAACAAAACAAGCCGGTTGTAATGTTATGTTTTATAAAGTACATACTAAATATTTCTACATATTATTTATTTAATTTTTACATATTATTTTCGAAATTTGAATTAAATAGATTATTTTAGGCGATTTGTTATTGTTTGCAAATATTTCTCAACTCATATAAAAGATTGCAAATTTACGAGTATTTAGGCGATTAGGCGACTCAAACTAAACAACATCTTTCTCTCTCTATCACACTATCAAATAAGCACAAATTTTTTCTAAAATTTAATTCACGAATCTTTACTGTACGATCCACTATGATCCACAATTTATTTTCTATCAAATCTTACTATTCTTCCTGAACTATTGTAACATACGTTATCTACATAATTAAACTATTCTGTAATATAATATTACATACAAATATTTGTGCACAGTGACAAGCACCGACATCCGTTTGGAGGAGTAAAATAAATTTTTCTCAAAAAATAAATTTTTTTTTATTTTTCTCTTGAAAATTAAAATTTATATAGGAAAAAGAAAGAGCTAAAGATTTAATTGCTGCTGGTAAACAATGTGAAACAATGGCAACTGAATTACTTGCACTTGCTGCTGGAGCTGATTCTGCTGCCAAAATATTAACAGCTACGGATAGAAGAAATGTTGAATTTCTTGATGTTCTTATAGAAAATGAACAAAAAGAAGTTATAGCACATACAGTTGTTCAAAGGTATTTACAGGTAAATTTATTATTTTAATCACTTTAAATTCACAAAAGAAATTCGTTCAAATTTGGATGATTCTTTATAAAAATTATTGAAGACAGATTTTTAAAGTTTTTATGAAAATTTAACACAAATAAGGGTTATCAAAACTATATCAAGTGAAAAAAAGATATGTAGTTGAAATGTAGTACACCACACAAAATTTTAATTATGTACATAAGTAAAGTACATAAAGTAGGTTTTATATAGCAAAAGAAAAGAAACAACTATTTTTTAATGACATTGACATTTCCAAGCCAAAACAATTAATTTTATTATCATTTTCCTTATAATTTAATTTAATTTTTATATTTTTATTTTAGGAACTCTGGCGAGGAAGCTTAACATGGGCTTCGTGGAAAATTTTATTATTACTTGTAGCTTTTGTAACATGCCCACCTGTTTGGATAATATTTACATTTCCGATGGGTCATCAATTCAATAAAGTTCCAATTATTAAATTTATGTCATATTTAACATCACATATTTATTTAATGATACATTTATCAGTTGTTGGTATCACACCAATTTATCCAGTTTTAAGATCAAATTTAATACCATATTGGTATGAATGGGGACTTTTAATATGGTTAAGTGGATTATTATTATTTGAATTAACAAATCCCAGTGATAAATCTGGATTAGGATCAATTAAATTATTAGTATTATTATTTGGAATGGCCGGTGTTGGAGTTCACGTTGCTGCATTATTATTTGTTGGAAAAGAATATTGGCCAACATTAATATATTGCCGTAATCAATGTTTTGCCTTATCATTTTTACTTGCATGTGTTCAAATTTTGGATTTTTTATCTTTTCATCATTTATTTGGACCATGGGCAATTATAATTGGTGATTTATTAAAGGATTTAGCAAGATTTTTAGCTGTTTTAGCAATATTTGTATTTGGATTTTCAATGCATATTGTTGCATTAAATCAATCATTTCAAAATTTTACACCAGAAGAAGTTGCAAGATTTAATAAACAAAAACCAAGAGGTGGTCTTTTTGATGATGGTAAGAATTAATTTAACCCATATTACGTATAAAAGAATATACCTATATATATATATACATTATATAAATAAACAATCAAAAAACATTTATACATAATAAAATACAAAACAAATAATTTCAATACACTTATATACCATTATTATACTTATAATAAATTTATTATATATTTTATAACAGCTTTTAAGTATAAGTTGTCCGAATCTATTATAGCTCAAAATTAATATTGTAATTATAATTCTTAAAAATATTTTAGTATTAGCTGTCCGAAAGCAAACAGCTCCGACATCATCTGCATTTCGTCAGCAACAAAGTGGTTATGTAGATAGCCGTAGCTTATTCAGTGAATTTCGAAGAAAACATAAAGATGACAGTAAGTCATAAAAAAACCATTCCTGAATAATTCAAAAGCAAATTTAAAAAAAAAAACCCTTTGCAATATTTATTCAATATATAAGAGCCATCTGTGATTCAAATTTTAAAATGTTTTTTGCCAGCATGTGTTTGTTCTTACAATATAAATATATATATCTAAATCAAAAAAAAAATAAAATATTACAAAACAAAAAAACACATTATTAATTATCTTTTATGTTGTGTTATGAAAAGATGGCGCTATATCCGTTTGTTTACATGTGTATGTAACTTTCTTTTTCTATATATTCTTATTAAACTTATATTACAAATACATATACATACATTTCAATTAATCTATGTATGTGTTAAAGGAAAAGCTAGATAAAATTTTTCCATTTCATTATCCTAAAACGAGTCTTAATAGACTTTTTTTTTTAAATAAAAATTCTGTTAAGATTCTGGATAAAACTTAGAATTGATAATTTTCATCAGCTTTTTCATTAACATATTTTATATGCATAGATAAACCAATAAACAGTTATGATATATATGCGCTTATGTATATATATATGTAGATAAGTAAATTGTGCATATATATATGTATGAGCATATATATGTGTCTGCAGCAAATCACAATATTATTATACACTATTAAAACAAAAAAACAAAATATCTCTCAAACTCTTTCCGGTTTTATTTCTCTTTAACACTATAATCCATTCATTATGGATATCACGAATATAACGGAAATATATAAAACTACTTTGCAACACATTCTGTCTCTAAAATTGAAAAATGTAAATCGCATGTGGATCGATAAATTTTATTTTTGACTGCATTTAATTTTTTAACATTTAAATACATAAAACTACATTTTATTTTTTAATTGACTGGTAATATTATTTTACACAGGTACAATGTGAACCCTATAATTCAGTTGAAATGTCAATTTTAACTCAAAACTATCGAGCTAATTATTTTGACAATTGACAATATTAATTTTTGGCTGAAGTTTAAATTAAAAAACAAAACATTTAATTAAAAATTGGTTTTTTGTATAGCTACTCCTAAGAGTTTTAACGCTATATTGTTAGTTCTGTAATTTCATATCACAAAATTATAATACAAATATTATTTCAACTAAATCCACTGTCTGTGTCACTTTAAAAATAAAATTTTTATTTAACATTATTTTGAAAATATACATATGTGTAAGTATTTTTTATAAAATATTCTTATAAATCAGAAATTGTTCTATATTTTTTACTTACATATGTAAATTTAAAATGTTCTTGTCAAAATTTTTAGTTTTGCGTCAGTTTAAGATAACTGATAGCTGTCAATATACTATTTCATAGTATAATCCAAGAGAGTGTAAAACAATAACTTATCTGTCAAACATTATAACTTTTTTTTAGCAGCAATAAAGCTAAAGATTTTTTTCAATTAATTGAAAATTTTTATCATGAAATTTTCAAATAGTTCGACGTTACCTGTTAAAATTAATTTACCATTAGGCAGAATATTAAGTATACATTAATACAATACAAACAAGAAAATTGCACACAACAGGAATGATTTACCGTTAAGAAAAAAAACGAATTTATATTTTCTTTTTTTTATTATGGTGTTTTTGCACGTGTTATGAATAAGTATTGTGTTTCGTTACAATTTTTCAAAACATTAAAATATTAAATTTTATGAGAATTAAGATTAAAATTGCTAAAGTACATTACATACATTTTATTTATTATTATAGCCGCATATGCAGGTCGAGATATTAGAAAATATGTATGAATTAGGAATGTTTATTAAATAATTTAAATATGAATTTTGTGATTAACTACTGAATGAAATAAAAATGGTTGTCAGTCTGCATATCCATAATAATACCTTAAGTCAATCGTCAGTAAAGTGCCGCCAATGGGCAATGGGCAATTCGATTGCGATTATCAAAATTTGAAAATTTTTTTTCAAAAAAATTGAAAGATCTCAATATAGATATGGGAACATAAAATTCTATTTAAACTTATTTATCAAAACAAAATAATAAAAAGTCAGTTGAAAATATCATTTCTTCGTGTAAGTAGGTAATGTAAGAAACCTGTTTTGCTCATATTCACACTCACATATTACATATTTGCCCATAACCTACAAAAGTTTGCCGACCGTTTATAGAAATAGTAAGATCCTAGAGATACAGTACTGTTATAGATTCAGATTGTATAAGCTATAATTGCTAGTAATACCGTAATAAATAAAATATAATTGCCGAACTTCAGTTTGGTATTTATTTAATTTACCAGAAAATATCCATAGCACCAACATTGCAATAAGACGGCGTGATATAATAGAATTAGTCAAACATAAATCAGAAACTGCACAATATATCACTATATATAAAGTTGAAATGCCGTAATTTTGAAGTCAAGCTATGTTAAATTTGTGCTAATTTACTATCTGCATATGCGTTAGCCTACAATGAAATTGATTATACCATGAATTATAGGCTTTGGAAATTACCATATTTAAAATTTACCTTAGAGGCTATAATAATAATAAATTTTTTGTACAAATGAAATAAATGAAAATTTAATTAAAAAAATATTTAAAAATTCATGATTTTTCAACATACTTACATACATTCAAATTAATTTATTTAAAAAACATTATCGAATCAAAATATTAAAGTTTTTCAAACTTAAAATATAAAAACATATAATTATGACAATCAAGTGAGTAATTTTTTTCATATTTGCACATAAGCATGTTTCAAAAGTTCAATACAATTTTTTTTTTTCAATTTTACTTTTTAATAAATGAGAAAAATTCATGATAAAATTTTAAGGAAATAAACAATTTTTTTTTTCAAATTTATTCAAAACTATCACTAAATCAATAAAATCTATACCAATAATCAAAAACAAAAATACAATATAATAAAACACTTTAAAAATACGCCATATTTCACCAATATAACGAATTTATGCACGTGCCAGAATATTAAAAAGCGAATCAAATATAAAAAATGAAAAAAAAAAAATAAAATATCAAAATTTTTGAATGTGTTTTGGGCTTAAAAATAAAAGCTAATCTAGCACGCAAGCAAATCAAAAAAAAAAAATACAAAAATGTTTGTTCCCGGTGTCAAATCAAATAAAAATTTTTAATTTTTGCAAAATGAAATTCAAGCAGATTTTTAAACGTGTGCTAATCAAATTTGTGTCTTCACCAAAAAAAAAAATGTTAAACAACGAGTGCTTCTTTTTACTAATTTTACTTTTTTTTTTTGAGATTGTTGTCGTTAATTTTTTTTTGTCTTATTAAATGAGAAACTTTTTTTCTAATAATTAAAAATTCTCTCATAAATTGTTGACGAAAACGAAAACCACAAAAAAAAAAACAAAAAAATAAACCAAAAAAAATTTATAATTACGTGAATCAGAACCAATGACACCATTTTTGGCTTTCGAACGACTTTTCTTTGCTGTATTCGGCCAAACAACAACTGTGGACATCAATCCAATGCGTCATCTAAGGCCCGAATGGACAGAAGTATTATTCAAGCTTGTTTTCGGAATTTATTTATTAGTTTCAGTAGTAGTCTTGATCAATTTACTAATTGCTATGATGTCGGACACTTATCAAAGAATACAGGTTTGTTATTTTAAAAAAAACTAATTTACTTCTTCCCTTTTCTTTTTTTTTTGTTTTACTTATTTTGGGGGGTTAACAAACACCGATAAAAAATATATGGTAATTTTTTTATTAAAAATGAAACAAAAAAAAAATTTTTCTGGGGCTGTCAAAAATTAACAAATTTCGAAAAAATAAAAAAAAACGAAAAACAAAAAAAAATAATAAATGTCAACATAGTACGGATGAACCCAATTACGTCATTTGAGTTATTATTTTTTGCTGTATTCGGACAAACGACAACTGATCAAGTACGAGTGGATCAAATAAAAAATTTAACGAATGCAACACAACCATATTGGGTCGAATATTTATTTAAAATTGTTTTTGGAATTTATATGCTGGTATCTGTTGTTGTACTTATCAATTTATTGATTGCTATGATGTCTGATACTTATCAAAGGATACAGGTAGTATATTAATAATAAAAGTAGATGTTGGTTTATCATAATATTATAAAATTATAAAGAAACAAAACACAAAATGATAATAATTGAGAAGGAGGTTTCTCTGAAAAGAAAACGTCAAAAAAAAAAAATTACAACAATTTATAAAGTTATTTGCAAATTTTTTCAGGATGGTAGAATATTTTGTGCGTTGCGTTTGCAGTTAGGTTTTCAAGAAGTTGTTAACAAATTTAATATTTTTACCTAATTAGTTTTTGTTATATGGTGACCATTTTAATACTTATATTGTGTTAAAATTTAAATTTATGTTTAAAATCATTACTCATTATATAAATTTAATATTTAAAATCATTACTCATTAAAAAAGTTAAAAAATTTAATGTAGTCATCATAAATATTTAAGAATTTTAAAATAACAAATTATTCAGTAATAGATGATTTTAAATAGAACAGTTTCATTGTAATTTTATTATTACTGCGACACTTCCTATAAACTCTTTGTAGTCCTCTCTGTTGTTCTTAACTGTTTCTTTATATTTCTCTATCATATTCATTTTTATTCTTTAGCATTATTCATACAATGTTCTCTGCAGCTCTAGAATCTTATAGTGTAGAAAAAATCTATCTGATACTGGAGTTAACCTCATTATATTTACGATGAACCTAAATTGTCAAGTAATTGTATTGATCACCATACGTATAGGTCATGATTATCGATTTAGTCGTTGGTTTCAAAACCGTACGATAAGAGTACACAACTTATACCAATACAATGGTACTAAGCCTTTCGTCTAATGCATTTTTAAGAAGATGTGCCAACAACTCCATTCTATACGGCATTATTAATCGGCGCACAAATATAAATACGATTTATATGCCGTTTGTAATACCACCCTGTTCTTTGCTTTCATTGAAAACTACAATACTTACACTAAGTTTTGTAAAATTATTTCGTTCAAGTATTATACATATATTGAAAATTGTTTGCATACTAACTCCTTACATTTAATTCATTACGAAAAACATTGGAATTTTCTCGTTTGATTCCACTCATAATTAAATTATGAGTGATGTTCTGACGTTTTTCATATAGCCATTTTATAGCCAAGGCGACATAGATGGTCATAATAAGCACATACGTGATTTTATTCTTTATTTTTGGTTAAGTTTAACTTCTTATTCTGAGTATCTTGAATTCTACTTGTGCTTCAATCTCATTTCGACTATATCCAAGACGTTGGGCAATTCTTTGGAGTCATAAGAATTTCCTACGAAGGTCTCCTCCCTTTTCTGTCATCAAATACACTATTTATATTATTTACAGAAGTTTTGTAAAATTAAAATTAAAATTTAATCTTTACCTCAAATTCCAACCTCAGTTCGAAAAAGTTTACCAAATTAGTATTTTACAATTATCAAAAGGTGAAATTTAAAAATAAAATTTAATTTAATATTTTTCTCTTTTAGCTTATTTAATACGTATATATAGCTTATATTTCTCTCAGTTATACTACTGTCATGATAGTTTAGTTTAGCAGAAAATATCAAAGTAATAATAATGGTGAATTAATATTTACCCAACAAAAAATAGCATTTTACAGCTAAAAATTTTTTTATTTGAAATTTAAAAAAAAAAACAAAATTTCAAAAACATTGTGAACTCGGTGGACATTATAAATCCATTAGCTGTCCAGACTTGATGCTATGCTAATCTATCATTTTTATTTCAAATTGTCATATAAAATAATTTCAAAAAGAAAAAATTTTTTTTAAAACAAAATTTTTTGAAATTTTTTTCATGACAATTTCGATAAATTCTACAAGAAGAATGAAAAATGTTTTGAGATGCGCCATGAAAATTAAATGTTTTTGATCAATAATTGATTTGCCTATGAAATCTTGAAATCACGAAAAATGTTCTTATAACATTTGAATTTTAGTATGATTGAATTTTATTATTATAAAGCACCAAATAATGCATGTTGTTAATTTTACTATATGAAAATTTTTAGTAAAATGTTGATAGAATGTTTTAGAGAAAATTATGGATAGAATGTTATAATTAAGAGCATTATATAAGCATATATATATATATATATACATATATTAATTTAGTTACATATGTTATTTGCGTATACTTCGATCAACTATAACCATTATTAAACCATTCAATAGAAAAACCATTATCATTAGTATATAGTTGTTCTACTTAGTTGTTCATTCATTCCAAAAAATTTTATTCTATAATGATTTTCATTTGGGTATAAATTAAATAATTTTTTTTTTTATTGAAAAATGTCATAATTTTTTTATTAAAAAAAATATTTAGGAAAATTTGGAAAATTTTCAATTGATCTCTTCACAATAAGAAAATGGTATTAAAAAATTTATATAGTAAAAGAAAAAAATTACAGGCTCCTTTGAAAACCCGAAGTTGCAAAGAAATAGTTGGAAAAAAAATATTATTTTAGTTTTCGGATTTTTATTTTTTACATGTGACATACGTCAGTTCTCTATGTCAAATCGATCCATTTTGATTTACGATTTGACTATGGAGAGATTAAATCTCCCCGAAATGACATTTGTATATCACATATAAAGAGTGCCTTCGACCAATAATTCATTTCATCTTTCGGACTTGTCATTATTTTTTTTGAACTTGTCATTTACATAGCCCCAAAGGAAATAATTTAAGGGTGTGATGTCACCCTTAAATTATTAGGTGCTCATTAAAATGATTTCTCAATGAGTTCATTGTGGCTACATTTCTTGTACAAATTGGATTTTGTATGTTTTATATTTAATACAATACTTTGAATACTGTGAAAATTGCACGCAATACTTTCATGGAAAACTGATTTTCGTTATACGGCAGGACAATTTCCATGATGATTTGCTAGACAATACTGAATAAGAATGACGTGGCAGTTCAACATAAGTCACGCGTTATCTGTTCGAAAAACCGGTATGAAAAAAATACCTTAAAATGAATCACCCTATTATTTATTATTCTCAAATTTGAATAATTTATTTTCTCTGCTCTATTCTAATAAAAATAAATGCTCTCAATTTTTTCAAAAAGTAATTTTTCAAATTTTATAATAGTTATCAAGTTCTTTTTTAAAATAATTTCTTTAATTGAAAATTATAACTGTACAATAATCATTGTGTAAAATCGAAAAGTTAAAGGGTTCGCGTGCTATAATTTCTGAAAACAAAAATTCAATTTTATAAAATATTTCTATTTCTATTAAAAACTTTTTATATACCTATAATTTTCATAATTTACTCTTTTGTTTATACAAACTTAATATTAATCTCTGAAGAGCTTATATTTTTATTTATATAGGTATTTACTGGAAGATTTCCAACCCTCCGAAATTGAAAAACACAATTTAGAAAAATAAATTAATACAATAGTAAAATAGGGGAATTAATTAGTAACTATAGTTACAGAAAAAAAATAAAATAAATTTTACGGGCTTTACGCAATATCAAAAATTTAGATTTAGGTTGATTAAGTTTAAACTGATTTCGGTTTATTGATTTTAGTCACAATTTACTTTTTCAAAACGAACATTATTACCAATGTCTTTTAATATTTTTATTCAAGAAAATTTAAAATATTAGTAAAGGAATTATTATTGATATTAGAACATAAATCTAAAACAGCGAAAATCAAATTTAAGAGGGTGCAACTTTATTTTAATAAAAGTGAATTTCTCGTTAAATTTTTTATAATTTTCATAGTGTAAGGTTTGATCTCAGTGTGTAGACCGAGGTAATTATTCAATATTATTTTATTTTATTTCATATTTCATTTTTTTTTTGAAATATTGTTAATTTATTAAAATTCATTATTTTATTGTGAAGAAATTATTATTGAAAAAATGAAGCCAATATAAAATTTTAATATTTGCTTGCTTTTTACAAATTAGCGAATTCGTTGTCTTCATTAAATTTATATGTGTGTATGTAAAAGTTTTGAGATATTTTATTCTTTACATGAAATTTAATTCCTCCTATATTATATACGTACGTACTTACATTATATGGACGTACATATATTATGTATATATAAATATAATAAAAAGTTTAAAAGTGTTTATCCGATTAAGATTGAAAAAAAAATTAATTTTAAATAAAATGCCTTTTTTAAAAAAAAAAAAAAAATTTAAAAAACACATAAAACAAAACAAACTTTTTAACTTTTGCATTTTCAAAACCAACAAACCATTGTCTTGTAACTATATTTAGGCACAATCAGATATTGAATGGAAATTTGGTCTATCAAAACTTATACGTAATATGCATCGTACAACAACAGCACCATCTCCGCTTAATTTAGTTACTACATGGTTTATGTGGATTGTGCAAAAGGTCAAGGTAAAATGAACAAAAAAAAAAAAAAATCGAAAAAAAAAAAAAATGTCTCAAATTTAATTTTATTTTTATATTTTTTTTTTTTATTTATTTAATTATTATGCAAAATATTTTTAATTTATTCACTTGTTATTTTAAAAATGTTACTGATATTTTTAGAAAAATTAAATAATTTTTATTGTAGAATGCTTTTACAATTTTAAAAATAATTATTTAGTGCATAATATTTTTTTTTTTTTTTAAAAATGTTAAATATTAAAGGAGAACTGTTTTATCAGCCATTTATTATAATTTTAGAAAATTAAGGAACACTTGTATTTTTAATCGGAATAGCATTCGTTTCGCTTTGATTAAAATTGTAAAATTAAAATAATAATGCTAATGAATCTGTGACTTCAATAACGCGCTTACAACATAAACTTTGAAAAGTATTACATTCCAAAAAATTTAGTAAAAGCTTTTACTCTTTTCCTTAATGCGTTCTATACGTATTTGATACGTAAAATAAAAATATATCGGGTATCGAAAAAATCGAGCAAAATATTGTCTGAAGTAACCATAAGCATATATTTTCAGCAATAAAGTGTTATTAAAATTTTTTTATAAATTCAGCATAAAAATGCTATGTTTTTAATGAAGTGGAAGTGGCTGAGCTTCGAAGAATTTTTGAAATGGTTTTTATAAATTTTATTTAAGCGGTACTGCTACTGAATGTAAAATTTATGAAAATCTTTCTGTTTGGTAAATATTTAAACATTATTTTGGCAATCTATAAGTAAAAAAGCTTAAAAGATCTAGTTTAAAGTTGATTTAAGAACAATTTAAAAACTGTTTTTTTTTTACAATATGAAAGTAACCATGCATTATACTTCGACAGTCACGACAAACTAACCATCTCAAAGAATTGTAATTTAATATTTTGAATATATACGTAACATATATAGTGACACATATAAGTGAAGAAAATATTTATAATTGACTTCTTTAATTCACGTACTTTTAGTCGACAATCCCGAAAATTACCTCTTTATAACCCATAAAAATTAAACCTATTATTTCAAAAGCAAAAGTAATTAATAAAAAGCCAAAAAAAAACAGAATGTTTTCGTATGACATAACATACAATATATGAATAATTTATTGGAAGTGAGATCCATTAAGGAAAATTTTAGCTTTAATGAAAGCATTGTTTAAGATTTTTGAATAAAAACGAAGAATTCGATGACAATTTAATGTTGCTACTAGGAATTTCAATCAATACATAAACTTTGCTCAAATATACTTATTAGTATTTCGATACTGTGCCTTGATACCAATGTATATATATTTTATTGTAACAAAATGTAGTCACTTATATTCAAATATAATCAAATAAGTCAATTTATTCTGATTCATAAATTTTATAAGTTTAATAAAATAAACTTTTATATTATTATTTAAATAATAATTAATTTTTGTTAAAAATTTTTATTCTCAAATTACTACTAGCAAGATCTTTTTAGGAACAATTCATACATACTGCTTACTTAATAATCTTTATGTAATTCTCTGTATGTGATAGCGCGGTGGCCGGTAACGTTCAAGAAAGAAGAAAAGAACATAACAATGATTTAAAATTTTTCTTATTACAGAGAAGAATAAAATACCGGTGTGGTGAATATGTTAAAAATGTCAGTCAGCAATATGATTGATTCGAATAATCGATTTGTAATTTGATATCAGTGGCGTAAGCATGTTGTAGGCTTCAAACAATATCGAATTTTTAATTATTAAATGAAAAATTATTTTAATTGAATTATTCAGTTCTCTTTTAATATTTCAAAGATAAATGTTAATGCAAATGCAAAAGAATTTAAAACATAAATGAATGCTAAACTTCATCAAGTTTTTGTATGGTATGATCAAAGAGTTTGAATATTTTATTAAAGCATGCAAGTAGTTTTAATTTTTTTTAAATAAAATTTTAACTTGTATAACATTTTTAATTTTAATATTTTTAATATAATCAGTAACATAAAAATAATAATTGCATTTTTATAGATAAAAATACAAAGAAAAAAAAAATTTGTTATGGTTTTGGTTAGTTTGACACAAGTTTTGAACAAAAAACAAAAAAAAAAAAAATCAAATAGTTTTCAGCATATGAAAAAACGCTTAATAAATTTTAGGCACGTATGAAGAAAAAGAAGCGACCAAGTCTGGTTCAGATGATGGGAATACGTCAAGCGAGTCCAAGAACAAAAGCTGGTGCAAAATGGTTATCAAAAATAAAAAAAGGTCAGATATCTATGTGTATATGATGATAAAAAATACAATAAAAACTTCTTATCTCTACTCTTTTGTATCTATATATGCAACTTTCAACTTCCTATATGTAGTATATACCTATTCCTATATACATATACAATATGATATATGTATATATAAATGTAAATGCATACAAAAAATAATTGCAATTTTGTATTATACACTTAAATTGAAAAAAAAATTAATTATATGGGACGCCTTAAAAAACTTAGGTGTAATTTCTATTTGTAAATATCAATGGTTTCGCAGTAGACATTTTCCATTTTTTAATTTTTACTTTCAGCTACTTTTATAAATATTTACTTTTTTCTTTATTTAATTCTTTTATTAAATTAAATTATATTTTTAAAAAATATTATTTAATATATTTTTTATTATTCTTTTAGAAATATTCATGTTATCTTGTAAATAAATACTCATATAACAACTGTACAAAAAACATACAGTATATATATATATATATATATATATATGTAGATATACTTTCAATCATTTATTTAAAAAACTAATTTTAATTTAATTTTTATCTAATATATTTTATTATTTCAATTCTATAATTTTGTAGAATTAAAATGGTCACAATTTAATTAAGAAAACTTATAACAAAATAAATACAAAATTAATTAATTAATAATTATTTATTTTATTTTTCAAAATACAAAAACACAACAACCAAAAAACCAAACATAAAAAAAAAAACATTTAAATATAATATGTGTCTAGATTCTGTTGCTCTATCTGTGGTACATTTATCACCATTGGGTTCTCAAACAAGTTTTGCTGCTGCAAATCAAAATCGTATTGAAAATATATGTGATTGGGAGGCAATAGCAAGAAAATATCGTGCATTAGTTGGTGATGAAGATGGTGGTGCACTTAAAGATGAAGAAGATCAAGATAATAATGGTGAGGTAGGTCAAAATAATGAATCACAAGCTGCTGGCGGTAATAATGCTGCTGCTGTTACACCATCTGTCGGAAATAATGTTAATGCAAGCCAAAATGTTTAAAAAAAATTTTTTTTTTTTTTTACATTTAAATTTTTAATCCAAGAAAAAAAAAATTTATATGTATGTGTATATTATATAAGATAAAATATTTTATTTATAATTATTCATGATATTATATAATTGAGAATTGAAAAAAAAAAAAATAAATAAAATTTGAAAAGAAATTAAAAAAAAAAAAATTCATTTCATATAAAAATTTTAATGATAATTTGATGTTTTCTCAGTATGTCAAAAATTTTATGATAATGTTAATCACGTCATAAGAAATTTACGTAATTGACATTAAAATTTCAAAATTAAAATGTTTTCCTCCTTAATCGTCATTCATTTTGTCACATTTAGTAATCACTTATGAATTAACTGTTAAAGAAATGTAAAAATAAAAAAAAACTAAAATAATTATTATTTGCGTTGGCAACATATTTATATTGAAATTTATGAAGCGTACATCGTATGTCGCGTTCAAATTAATGACTAACATCAGTTGCAAATTATTTGATATACTGGAAAACATCTTTTTATTACATTTCATACTACCATAAATTCATACAGAATTTATGCAAAATAAATCCAATTTTTAAATTTGAAAAGTAAAAAATATGCTTCCGAATCTTTTTTTTTTGTTTTTTATATTTTATTATTCATATATTTTTAATTAAACATTATATACACTTGTATAACATTTTTGTAGAAGAATTTTATTCTTGTATATGAAATATTAAAAAATGATTTTTTTTTTTTTTTGTAAACAGAATAATAATGATGGAGCTTGAACATAATATAATAATATTAAATTTGAATAAAAAACAAAATACACAATAATATTAAAACATAATAAACAAAAACATTTATACAATACAAAAATAATTGATAAGAAACAATACAAATACCGAAGACAACATATCTACATACATGCTAATTGAACATAAATTAATATTGTTCCTACATAATTAAAATATTAAAATTATTATAAAATTTATAAATATATATATATTTAATTGTAATTATAATGAATTTTTAATTGTATTATCATTTTATATAGTAATTTTAATAATATTAAATTTAAGTAAATTTAATAAAAATATACTGTAAAATTATTATTATGGTATTTATATATAAAAATTTTGATAAAAAAATATTTACTTAAAATGTAAATACCGCCATTAAAATTCATTATTTTTTATGTTGATATATTGTTTTTTTTTGTTTTTAAATTAATTTGTGTTTTACATTTAAATTGTTATTATTAAATATTATTATATTATTATATTATATGTAGTAATTTTTTTAAATGAATAAATGAAATTTATAAAATTTTTTGTATAAGCATAAAATAAATATCATAATTATATGTAATTTTTAAATAAAGAAAAAAAAAGGAAACTACTCTTTGGAATTTAAGAAAATATCCATGTTTTACTTAATTATCAAATTATTTCTTAATTTATTTATTCTTCAACTACAATTGAATTAAATTATTAAATAATTTATATTGTTGAATGAAAGAAACTTCAATATTTAATCATACAAATAAATATGAATAAATTGAAAATGACAAACAAGTTAAAAATATACTCGTAGTATCTGTTATTGGCAGCTTCAAAGTGATTACTACTTTTAATACAATTATAGCGGTAATTTTCAATAAAATAACAGTAATTCTCTATATGACATAATCTAAATGATTTTGTTTGATAACGGTAATTGTGTATGTAACATTTATAATGGCGATTTTGATGAAGGAATTTGGATAGCTTTTATGACTAAATACTCGTAACGAAAGTAAAAAGCTTTTTTAAAAAAAATTTTTTGATATGACAAAATAGAAAAAGTAATAATAATGCTATAAAATTCTTCAAAAGATGTCTCTGCAAGCAATTTCTTTTGAAAAAATATTTTAATTCTTTTTTTTTATTTATATTCAAAGAAATTCTTAAATTTTTTTAGAATTTCTTTTATTATTTTTTATTAATATGTTTAGATTTGAATTAATAAATTTTAAAACAAAAATTTGAACTAAATTGAAATAAATCTTTCAAAAATTGCTGTATGTTGGTGGAAGACTTGGATTATCACTAATATTCTTCATTCTTATTTGGATTATCCAATATTCTTCAATTAGTCGCATCACTTGGGATGATGGGATATTATTGAAAAGAATCTTATTTTTCAATATAAAATTTTGAATTACGGAATTGGTTTTATTCAGAAAATTACAAAAAATTTTTAAATAACAACCCATCACACGTCAAGTGATGCGATTAACAAAAAATGGGTGTATATTCTATTATAATGAATGTATTAATTTGGACAAGAAACTATTGTGTTATTAAAGTTTGACTGTATGCTGCTAGATTCCAGAAATTATTTTATGACGAAAATTTTATCCGATTCTTTATGACAATTTATAAGTGATAAAATTTTGTTAAAAAGAAAAAAATCCAATATCGTCGCAATAAAAACAATTTATTTAAAAAATAAAAATATTTAAATAAAAAGCTAACAATGATCAAGCAGTATGTAAAGACAATATTTTTTATACTTATGCACTAATGAAAATTCTTAAAATTATTGACATTACACTATTAAAAGCTTAAATAAATTTTATATAATATATAATATATTTTTTTTTTTGTATTTATTTATTTTATATTTCTAAAGTAAATTGTATTATTTGTATAATATATTAAAAAATTAACATCGAATTATAAATTATTAATTTATTCTATTGCCACTTGTAAAAGCCTTTTTGCACAAAAAAAAAAAATATATAAAATTTTTTTTTTGTAGTCCTTGGCACTGTTTTTGCTATTCTTCTCTCATAATTATATATATATATATATATCTATGTATAAAAAACTTCAATTAATTCAAAGATTTTGAGAACGTGATTCAAAAATTGCAGTAACATCGCGTATTTTAAAAACTGGAAAATTTTCATTTTTACTGTAAAGAACACAATATAAAAATACAAATTTAATTGAGAAAATAACAACAATCAAATAAAAACAATTAATCTTACAATTTTGATTCACCAACATTTGTTGATTTATTACAAGTTTCTTCATCAACAGAATTTCTTGTTAAAAACTTAGATGCCAATACATCAGGATTTTCATGCTTCATGTCAGTCAAAGAATTATTTGATGAAGAAGTATTTGGCATATGAGTTTTAAATATTTTTTCTTTATATAACTTCTTAGAGGAACTATTGACTGTTGCTGAATATATTATTTCCTGATTGATTGTTTCCGGTCCTATATTTAATTTTGCTGTTATTGATGGTTCCTTGGGTGCTGTTTCCGATTTAGGAGATTCTTTTAGTTTACTTTTAGATCTAGAAATAAAAGATTCAGGATTATGTTTCTCACTCAATTGATGTCGTCTCATTTCTTTTATTTTTTCAATTCTATCTCGATCTAATTTTACACCACTCAAGAGACTCAATTCACTTGTCATTAAATTAGTATTTGAACTACGTTGTTCTGTTTTTAAAGCTATCTCATTATTACCATTATTAGAGGATAATGATTTATTATTGTCATCAAAATTTAAAGAATTTTCTTTACTTTGTTTTATACTTGTTTTTGATGAACATTTCTTAAGTTCTTTATTTGTATTAATGAAAATTTCTGAACAATCATTAGGAAGAAATTTCGGAGGATTAAGAAGTTTTGGCATAGATATTTCAACAGATTTATGTTTTGTATCATTAAAATTATATAAACTTTTCGCATAATTCTTATCAGTATTAATACATATATTAAATGCATTTTCATCTAGGCTTCTTGAAGATGGAAAACTTTTATTTGATAATTTAGTGCCATTTTTTATATTGTGAGGTAAATTCTCATCTTTTTTAATCGATTTGTTAACATTAGGTTTATTTTGTGATGTCATTTTTGTGGAACGAGTAGTTTCGAATTTCGTTGCAATTTCCCTTACACTCAGAAAAGGCTTTTTATTAGAGTAATCTCGCTTCGTGTGCAAATGTAAATTCTCTCCATTGTTGCTTTGATCATTAAAACTTTCTAAAGATTTGAAACGTGATTCTTTTTTTCGTTTTGGAGAATGCTTTTCCAGCAATGCCTTCCTGCTTAGATATAAAATTTGCTCATCATGTGACTTGGAAAGTTCATCATCTTCGCCTTTACCATATTGATAGCTGTTACTCGGATGCTCAAGTTTTTGATAAATTGTGTCTGATTTACTGTCTGGATTTGAAACACTTATCGATTTAATTTCAAAACTAATTATATTTGCCGACCGCTTTGGAGAGTTAATTTGAAGAGGTTCTTTATATGTTTCCAAACTTTCCATTATTTCAATGTTAGGAGAGTTTTCTGATGAAACCGCGTTTGATTGACGAGTGAAATTTAAATAACCAAATTCACTAGGTGTTAAAGATTGGCTTGTGTTATCAGAGGTTACGGTCATATTAGAATTATTGCAGTATCCTGGTGAGTTCAACAAATGTTCTGATCCACTATTAACTGAGTGTAAATCAAGATGCAATTTTTGTCTTAAAATGTCTTTATCATATTCTGAGGAAACCTAAAATAAATAACATTCATAAATTACTTGAACCTATTAAAATTATCCCATTTAAAAAGAAATTTACTGGTAAATCGTGTGGAAAAATAATATGATCGATTTCTTCATTCATCTCTTTGTTACACTTTAAATTTTCTTCTTCTATTTTATTCAAAATATTTACGTTTCCCACCGGAGTATTCATTGTAGTACTAGGTTCTGAACAGGTATCTAACAACAAAAGAGTATATCGAGGACTATGGCTTGATGATATTGTGGTTGTACTCAATGTACGCATGTCGCTTACTTTTAAATGCTTATTGTCATTATTGCTAGATATTGTATCAGAGGAAGAACTTCTGTTATTGGGTGCGATTGGTGACTCTTCAATGATATAAGGATTTATTTCCATGTTTGTCTGAACTTCTGAATAGCTAAAACAAAAACGGAATCAAACGTCAATACAAAATTAATAAAGTGACTGAGATATAAATGAAAATTATTAACCTATTGCGTGAAAGTTTTTTTTTAGCTAGTTTATCTGCATTAGAAGTATCCCGCAATTGTGTGCATTTTATATAATCTTCATTCGAATAACGCTCATCTTCATTGTAACATTCTTCAAAAAATAAATTATTTTTAACTATGTTTGGATAACTAAATCTACTTAAAGTCGATTGTTTTTTTAGAGAGCTTGGCTTTAGGTCATGGAAAGAAGATGAACGTGTACACTTGATTTTAGCGTCTTCAGGCTGCTTGTCTGCCGAGTTTTCAATGTAGTTCATGCTGTCCGATTTAGTATTGAATAACTTATTAGTACTCGACTTTTTATAACTGTGTTCTGGTGTATATGAATCTATAAATTCTATGTCAGACAAATGATCTTCCAAACTATACTGATTGCTATATTCATCTTCGTTGATGCATTGATTTTGTGACAAACTATTTGTAAAATGCGAAGTAGAAGGAACTCCCACCATTGGTTCTGGAACAAGAGTTACCGTATTTCCTAATTCCTTAAGGTCCAACTTTTCCTTTTTGCAACTAGAACAAAATCCATCTTTCGGGCTGCTCAATAAACTTTCGCTTTCCGAAAAAATTCGCATTTCTGGCTCTTCGCGGTCAAAATTCAAAACTAGTTCAGTGAATTCTTTACAACAAAAATTTTTTAGATTCAGTATAGGTGATTGCAAGATGTTCCCAAAATATGAATCATGCGACACAGATCTTGAATGACATTGCACAGTTTTCACGCTATCAACAGAACTGGAACGAACATAAACTTCTATAGGTTTCCTTCCAAATAAATCTGGAGATTTTTCACTTCCCAAACTTGGAGACAGATTATGTTTTGCGTCCACATCTTTATTATTGCTTGAATTTTCTTCTCCTACACTAACTAAATCTTTTTTAATTGGATATATATATTTATACAGTTTGATTTCTTGAGAACTATTGGAAGATTTAATATTTTTCGAAAATAGTGATTTCCATGATGTTGTTTTTCGTTTCTGCCATGTCCTAGGTACTGGCAGTAATGTGTGATATTTTTTGACTGAATTTGTAGAATCATTAATTTCATCAACAGGATCTACAGGAGTTGTTGCACTCTCTGACATCATTCCACTCCACAAAGCAACATTATCAGATTTCATTTGTCTTTCTTGAGCTTCTTCAAGACTTATTAAATTTGGCCGAGCTGGATTGAAATATTTTGATTTTTCGGCCATTGAGATAGAGCTGTCGTAACTTTGTTCGCTAGTAATGCTTGAAAAATCTTGCGCAACGTCTATTCTTTGTTCTGTGACTTGACTTTCAGGTCTGTCAACAGTTTCGAATATGAGAACATAATTTTTTATTAAGTATTCTGTAACTACAGCTTGAATTCCAACTCCTCTTAAGGCAGTGATTCCTCCAGATTCTATTGCTGGACTTCGAAGAAGGTTTGGTGCCCATACTATAGCTAAATTCTTATCTGTCATACCAGTCCGATTTGAGTGTTTTGAAATTTTATTTAAATGCATTGCTAAATGCTTCAGGGTTCTTTAAAAAAAATAAAATGATCGAATTTATTGGTTAAGTTATAAACAAGCTTAAAAAAAGTTTAAATTCTAACTAACCTGTAATGAGGTGGGGGTAACATTAAAACGGTCTCTTTCATAAGCCTTAAACGTTCATTATCATCATTCTTCTTCTGAATTGCGTCAACGAAATGATCATACAATTGATAAGTGCACAAAGGATTTGGCAACTCACGGAAATACATTTTCAGAACTGAACTTACAGCGTGAATATCTTTAATCATTTCAGGCGTGGTCATATCTGGAATACGTTCTTCGTCGAAAGCCCTTCTTAACTTTTGAATGTTCGATGTTATTCCAGATAAACGGTAAATTCCGTCAACAATCCCATTTTTTTCTAAAAATTCGGCACAACACTTAAGAATTATTGGTATATTTTGTCCACTGTTCAGTAAATGTTCACTCAAATCACACGAAAATACTCTCTCCCGATATATTCCTCTTTGTTTTAAACGTCTTCTTGAAGGCCTTGATAATATAAAACTGCGAAAAAATGCTATTAATTTACCGTGCTTCCGCAAAACTGGTTTCGTTGGAGAAGTTTCTTCACATAATTGATTTGAGAGAGGTGTTAATAAAGGCAAATTTCTTGGTATTTTATCCCCGATTGTTGCAACACAATTTTGAGGAAAAAATCCCACTTCATATTGACTTTTTTGTAAATGATTTTTTTTGCCTCTCCACCAGAGAGATTCAGTTGGATTCGGCATATCAATAACTGAAATCATATCACCAACATCTATCGATATTTCATCTGGAGCTTGGGCAACATATCTTAAATAAAAAATAAAATTAAAATAAAAAATAATTAAAAAAAAATTTTTATTTTATATTTAAAATATAAGCGTAAAGCAGTTTTGCTACAATATTTTTATATTTTTAACAATTTGAAAACACTTTATTTTATTAAATTCAAAATGAACTCACCTGCGAACTCCGTACGCTGCCCCAACAGCAGGTGTATTGATACTTTTCCTTATTTCAGTGTCAGCTAAAGGCAGCCTTCTCCCTTTGTTATCTAATTGAAACCACGTCAAAATTTTCCCACACGTAATAGAATCATTTGCTATGTTAGAAAGTCTTTCAAAATATTTTTTCACAACTTGGTTAATGTCTTCGGCGCATTCAAATTCCGTAAATGATAAATTTTTTAACAAACTAATTTTCCTATCAAAGACACATCTATGCAACATTTCATCAAGTAATCTCACATTATCAAATGAACGTCTTATTAAAAATGTATCCGAATGTTCTGTAGTGATTTTCATAATAAACCAATAATTTTGAGATCCTGATGCTTGTGATGTTGACTGAGTATCTTCATTTAATGATTGAAATGGCATACTAGTGTTAATGGAATCAGTCCTTTCATCGACCAGACTAACATTTAACGAACCCAACTGAACAAGCTCGTAATGAAAATGAGCACATTCCTCTAATTTAGGAAAGCGACAGGAACTCTGTAAATGAAATTATAGATAATTAAAAAAAGAAGATGGTTATGAACATTTAACATTTAAAAAGGTTTTAATAATTTTAGCAATTTATACTGTTATCTTAAGAATCAAAGTTAATTTTCGTTTGACACGAATATGTAGGTGTGTAAACGAAACTACTGTAATTGTATGTCTCCTATTTACTTATAAAAAAGTTGGCAAAATATTTTTATATGAATATATCTGCAATTAAATGTACTAAGAAAAATTTAACTGATGTTCAAGCTAATGAATATTTTTACGTATTTCATTGAAAAACATATGAACATAAATTCTATTTAAATACTTATGTAGGCATATATATGAAGGGAAAATAATTATGTCCACCCCCGCAAAAAATTTTCAGCGGAATTTTCCTAATAGCTATATCTTTATTCATACATATTTATTTCTTATTTATGTGTAAAACAACTCTTATTGGAATGTCAAAGTTAAATACACTTTGAATCTATATGATGTAGAATATGTAATAAAGTCAATAATATTGTGAAAATTTTTTTTCATTTGTAAGCACTTTAAATGTTACTAGTATTACAAGAAATTCCTAATTAGTCATCAGTGAGTTTTCATTTATGTAGATATGTGTTTATACATTTAACTAGTTGCAGTTTCATAATGATATTTTTCTCCATTTAACCTGTTTTTATATTAAATATTATATCCATTTTAAATAAAAATTTATTAAAATGAAAAATTAACTATTGAATGTTAATAAATCGTAAAAATTTTAATATTTTGAATTTTATTACATTATTTCCCAGTCACCTAAAGTTCATTATATTCAATTCGCATTATAGAAATCAAATTTTAACCTCATTTATAAGGAAGATATTTTCTTTTTTCTTTTTGACCATCTTCAAGTTAAAATCGGTCAATTGGTAATACATATTAACTTTTCACGTCTTTGACATGCTTGGCTGGTAATATTTTATAAAATATGTAGCTATAGCGCATACCAAGGTGTTTAGTTTCACTTAGTTATTAGAAATTTTTTTTTTTTATTTTTATACTTCCGTTTTGAATTTTTATATTTAATTAAAAATTTCATTAAATATGTACAATAAATGAATTTTTTAATATTTACCATTTTTTTGTATATTGCCTTACGGGCTCTTATTATGAAGATGAACTACATTTTTGGTGTTGATTTTTTTTTGTTGAAAAAATTAAAATTTATGAAAAAATTTTGTGACTAATAAATATTTAAAGCACATTTTATATGTATTAATAAAATATAAAATAGTTTTTTTATATTTAAATGTTCTCTATACTTATTTTTAAATTAAATTTTTGATTATATTTTAAACTACTTTATAAAATAACAATATAAAAAAAAGTGTTTGTTTCTTATTCACAAATTAAATTGATTTCCCTTTACATTTTACAAGCTCTATATTGTTTGCGTCACAAAATGACAGCTGTCAAATAATTGTGTTGCCACCATTAAAAAAAAAGCAAGAATACAAATGTCATTGTCAAAATTTAATTGTCTTTATCGTAAATTAATTCACAATTTTCTATTTTTAGTGCCGTATCTGAAATTAGATTTGGTCTAATTTTTAATCGTAAAATTTGTGATACGTTATTTTTTGCCAGAGCAATTAGTACTAATATTTGTACTAAATCGAAATTTTTTTGTTATAAATTGTAAAATGTTTTATATTATACGATTTATCTAGAATAAAATATTGCAATTAACAATATATAATTTAAATTGCGGTTTTGTTATAATGTTTCTTCTGCTAGAAATTTACGATTAAAATATATCGACTAAAAAAAAACTATATACACTTATATCGTTTAGCATGGAGCTTCAATCGGTTTCCAAAATTTATGTCCATATAAACGTTACTTGACTTGAAGCCGGCTTAATGAACAATCAAACAATTTTGCTTAATTGACTTGAAATGCTGTCAATGACTTGAAGTGCAATAGAATAGTTAAAAGTAATTTCAGCCTTTCAAACTGGCATATTAAAAACACTCAAGCTGCCATATAAACGAGATATATACATATTATATAGTTTTTGTTAAATTGAAATATTATAGTTATTATAGTTTTTGGATTTAGATTTTAGACCGTTTTGATATGGGAAAAATTCATATTTAAAAATTTTACACTGGGTTTGTGGTCTGAATATACATATATCGTTTTTGATATTATTTTATAAAATAAGAAATTTGGGGCTTATTCTGAGTATTTAATCACAAAGTGATATTTGTCGTTAAAAATTCGATATTACTTATTGTAAACATAAGCCAAACAATAAAAATGTATTTTGTCTTTGATAAAGTTTTTGTAATTTGTACGATAAATGCCTACTATCACTTAGAGGTTGAGTGAAAATAAGCCTCATTATTATTGCAAACACAAACCATTTCCTACAAATGATTTGTGTCTATAATAAAGGTTTAAAATTTTTTATCGTTTAGCGATTTCGCTTTCAGAACAGTTTTTATTGTTCAAATTTTTGTGTATGCAAATCAAAGGAAGTTTAATTTTGAAATAAAATTTTTGTAAAATAAGAGGAAAAATTTAAACAAAAAATGTAAATGTAAGTGATAGGATAAAATGGAGGTTAAAATATATTAGTATTTTATTTAATTTTTAATAAACACAAATTAGAAAAATCCATGTAATATAATTTCAAAAATTTCAATCATTTGGTTGGTTTTGCACTGGGTTATCGTTTTAAATAAATACATATGGGCAAATTCCCAATTCAATATTAAAAAAACTGAAGTGACCAAACCGTTGAAAATAAAATGCAGTTTTTAATTTTAAAGTATTTTTATAATTAAGCGATTGCTTTTTAAATAAAATTTACAAAAACATGCACTCGTGTTAAATATTCTATATGTTTGTATAAGTCAAATAAATATATTATTTTTATTTTTTTTTTTTTTATAACATATAAACGATTAATGTAAAGTTAAATTTTCGAATACTAATAAATTAAATTTAATTAATTCAAAACAAATTAAGGACTTCCTTGAATACTGTCATCACTTTCTAAATATGTTACATATGAATCTGTACTATCAGGATGATGAGCAGAATTTTCTAATTGTGGACCATTCATTTGAGCACTTGTTGGACCATGAGATTGCATCCCAGAAGGAAGGACACCCACATCATATCCATGCATCTTCAAAAAAAAAAAGAAAAAATAAGAATTTTGATTTCTTGTTTTTTTTTTAGTTTTTATAATTATGTGGGTTTCATACTTGATTTACTAAATGTTGAAAAGCAGGTGTATGAGTATTTACGCTTCCATTATTGTCTAGATCGGCATGTAATGCAAAATCTGATAATGCTTTCCATGGCGGTTGATATGTTTGCACATCTAAGCTATGTAAATTTAAAGGAGAATCATGTCGAACTGGCGATTCAGCTACCATAGGAATACCTTGCATTACACCATAACCTAATTTTCTTCCCTCCTATATATGAATTAAATTATAATAATTATTAAATTTTGTCTATATTAATAAAATTTTATTTAAAAATTTTACTTTCTCTTGTTGCATTTGTAGTTTCATTTGTATTGTTTTTTTCTTATCTTTACATCTTTTATTTTGAAACCAAACTCTTATGACTCTAGGTGATAAGCCAGTCATTTCCACTAGCTGTTCTTTCATTAAAGCATCAGGTCTAGGATTAGCATTGTAACATGTTCTAAAATGATATTTAATACAATTTATTATTTTTTTGTTTTAAAATTTGTGTGGTTGATTTTATTACGAGTACATACCTTAACGTATGTAATTGCTTTTCATTAAGAACTGTTCTCACTCTTGTAGGTTTACCGTCACCAGGACCTGATTGCCGTTTATCCCTTAAACTTTTATGTGATCCGGATTCACTTCCAGAATCTGACAATAATAAAAAAAAATATTCCTTCTTAATCATTTTTGTTTTATTGTGTAAATTTTTATAAATTTAATGTTATTTTGCAATTGTTTGTAATTTGTTGATTAACATAATTATTTTTTTTAAGGTTTCTTTAAGAAATATAAATCCCCCATTCAATAATTTGTGTTTTAATTACCCGATATAGATCCTAATTCACTGGAATGATTATTATTCCTCAGACTATTGCTATTATTATTATTTGCTTCAGATATCGAAGATATATTTGGCTGATTTGTTTTTTCAAGTACTTCGTGATCTTCTTTACAAAATAAGGAGCCCCCATCTCTTAGAGCAAATTCATCACCTTAAAATATAATAAAATAAATGTTTAATTTTATTTGTATTTTATTCTAGTAATATTGTTAAATTTAATTATATTTTTTGTGCTTTATAACAAAATTTCGAATTAAAGAACAATTTTTTGTTCTTTATAACAAGTTGAATATTGTCAAAGTTTAATAGTATATTCTAAAGTGTATAAAATGTAAAAGCTAACTTCAAATAAAGCATGTACTCAGAAATTTCAATTCTACAAGCGTGGAATTTTTTTCAATTTCGCTAAAAATTGACCTATCCAAATTAATTGAAGAATTTTTTGTAATTTACATAATTAAATTTTAATATTGCTTAACATATCTGACAGGAGTAAGAAATGTGAACTATGTAGTTGGTATACGATTTTGACATAAGAATAAGAAATAAGAAGATCATACTGCAAAATTCGAACAAAAAAGAAATATGAATTCAATTTGCGTAAATATGATTTTTTGTGTTTTTTGCAATTTTTGCTATAAAAGTAAATGAATTGATTTTTTAAATAATGTAAAATCAAACCTTTTATTAATTAACATTAAAATTATAATAAAAATATTGTATATAAGTACTTGTCTTAATAAGTTTATAATGTGCTTTATTTATAGTACAAATTTAGTTCTTTATTTTTTTTTGGCATGAGCTAATATTCAAACCATATGTTATTATATCTTACCTGGTATAAGTTGCCTTGCACACGCCGAACAACGAAAGCATTCTATATGATATATTTTACTTTTAGCTCTCATCACAAAATCATTTTTGCTAAAAGAACTGCCGCATTTATCACATTTTGTACCAAATAATCTACAAAATTTAAAAAGTACATATTGTTATTTTTTCAAAAAACATGCGTTTAAAGTGAGATAAGGTAAAAAACAAAAAAAAATTACAATAGTTTAATTTTTTCGTGAAAAGAACAAAAATTGTTATTGATAAGCTGATAAAAGACGTTTACAATGTCATTAAATAGGTACATACTTTGGTTTTTTTTTTTTGTTTTTACATAACTTCGGTATCATGTCAAAGACGCATTAAAAAGAAAATTATTTTACTTAATATTTCTGTTTTACTTTAATTTTTTTTAAAACCTAATTTTCTTTTTTTTTATATTAAAGAAAGCATGGAAAACCTGTAATTGAAAAAAGTCGCGCAATTTTCATTTTATAGTACAATTGTTTTTTATAATTTTGAAAATTTTAATTTTATTTACAGTAAAAAAATCTTTACTTTTTAAAAATGAAATTTAAATACCGACGGATGCAAAATTTCTTTTTTTATTATAATTGTTTAACAATTTTTCAAATATATATTGTATGTAGTTATTCGGTACGGTATTGTGGATTGAGAGAAGAATATACATATTTAGAAAGTCAGCGACAAGACATGTCATAATTCCATTCACAATACAACAACGCAAGACTAATTTTCAATATTTTCTTCATTTTTTAAAAAATCTCAAATTTTTTTGTATAGCAATACATGGAGAAAATTTAATCTCCAAACTGAGCGAAACCCAAATTTTCTTTTAAATTATTTAAAATTTTTATTTTAAATAATTTAAAAGAATAATTTTTTTGTACTATTTTTCTCAATTTATGTAGAAAATAAAATATTTATCTTAGTATTTTTTTTATAAAAATGTTACGAATTTAAACTTAGCGAAAATAATTGCATTGGATGCGATAAATTTCTTCCAGAAAAAAATTAAATATTTCAGTAAAGTTTAATTATTTGAAATTATGAACACTAAGTTCACAATTATTTAATATGTGACTTTAATATGCCTGCCCGTCGGCAATGTAATTTCGAAAAAAAAATTTTACTTTTAAAGATACAAAATCTTGATTATTGATTATTGTTATAATTACATTCCGGCGCTAATTGTTATTGATTTAAAATTTTAATAATAAAAATTTAATTATTTCTAGGTAAATTTTAGTTACAATGTGGGACGAAAAAACTAATCTGTCTTTTAGAAATTTTTAGTCTTTCAAGTGTAATAGTAAATGATGTGCCTAAAAGTATCTATTCTGCTTAATAGTGAAAATAATTGAAAATTTAAAAATGTTATTATTAAACTATGTAAATACATTGTCTTTTAATACCATAATATCTCCTACAAAATTAAAATAAAAAAAATAAGAGAATTTTTATAAATTTACCTTACATAATCTCGTTTACAGTATGTTTTTCCATCTCTAACAAAACAAGTACAACTTTCATCTAAAAATTGTCTACATTCTTGACATTTTAAACATGCCGCATGCCATTCTAAATCTGGTGCTACTCTTAATATATATTGATCATGAATTTGTCCACCACATCCAACACATAATGATAATTTTTGTTTTTCTGTAAATAATAAAAGAAAATAATGGTATGTTAATTAAAAAATATAAAATTTTTTATTATATATGTATACTTAAAGTAGAACAATTTAATAAAATTTAAAGAATCTTGAAATAAATTTTCAATTAGTATTTTATTGGCCATTAATTTTTACGTTGACTATAAGGTTTTGGAAACTGAAAGCCTTATTCTAAGTACACACAAAAAATTGAAGCAATAGTTGTCAAAAATAGGGTTATCAAAATCAATTTGACAGTATCATGTTTTTCATAAATAATAAATGAAATTTAAAATAATTCACTTCTGAACATTTTTGAACACTTTAAATTCGATTTTGAACATTGATTTAACATTTGCCTAGATTGTTTGATGTTGTCACTATTTAATTCAATGCACGCAGGTAACAATTTATTTTGTATGTAGACAATAATCACTGGTAAACAGATTTTTTCTCGCATTTAAATTTTCTAAATTTCAATTGATTATCACAAATAAATTACTAGAAATCTTAGAAACAATATTGTCAAACAAACGTCATGTTTTCTATTAATACATAGATATACCAATTTTTTGTTTGCATAAATGTAGGAGTATTTTAATGTGCCTTAATGTATTATAATTTTTATGCCAAAAGCTCAAAAGTAATAAATACCATTAAGTATTCAATGTTTTTTCTTGAAATTATTACATATTTACATATTATATATGTATATATATTTTAAATACTATATCTGTCAATTTCAGTGAATTTAATTGACATATGTCAAAATTTATATGATTTTATTTTTTAACGTATTTTTGCTGTCAATATAATTTTTCTAAAAGAAAAAAAAAAAGTAAATATCCGGTTTATATTCGTTATTATTATGTTAAGCACGTATTCGAATGTTGAGTTTTTTTTTTGTTGTTGGAATTTTTTCCACAAAAACGCTCATATTTATAAAACATACAACATCCTACACTTTTAAAATTATGATACGGTATATGTAAATGTTTAAAATTTTATATGAAAATTATTTATGAACATGTGTTTCATATAGCACATTATTTGCAATAATAATACGAGTATTGAAATTCTATAGAAAATTCTGTGAAAAATTTTAAAATTTTTTATTTATTTTTTTTTTGCAGTTAAAAATTTGGAACATATGAAATCGGTTTTTCAATTTCACCAATATCATATACAATCGCAGTTTTAAATTAATTAATTTTAGTTTATTTAAAGGTGACTCGAGAGTGAAATAACTTAAGAATCTAAAGCTATCAAATATATTAACCTATAATGAAAGCTCTACATTTAGAACATTTTTTGTTTCGGTTTGTAGTATTTCTATGCATTTTCTATGAAACATTTTTATTAAATATAAGTTAGTTAATTAGAATATGCAGTGTGTGACAAATTTTAATGAAACTAAACCTTCTACGCATACCGAAAACTCCCATAGCAAAAGATATCAAAAATTCACAAAAACATGGTATTGAGGGAAAAATTTTATTCAAATTATATTCACAATTAAAAAATATATATGACATTAGGATATTTGCTGTCATATATTACGACAGTAGGATATTTGTTCACCAATCAAACTGTACGGCTGTGATTTTTTAAATTCATTTATAATTTTTATATTTTTTAAATTTCTTTTTTAGAAATAAAAATAAAAAATACAGCAAGAGCAGTCGACAATTTCATTATAGAAACAATAGTCTCTCTATGGAGCATTTAAATAAAATTTCGCAACTAAATCAATGGTTTAAACTTGTTTTGGATTTAAATATTTTTTCTTATTGCCAATGAATTTATGTTATAAAATCTAGTATATTAGTAGTATAATAATAATTTTATTCCAATTTGTAAAAATTTGTAAAAATCATTTGTAATTATAATTAGTTTCTGGTTTAGTGAACTATTAAAAAATTAATGTTAAAATTACTCACAATTATATATATATAAAGTATATATGTATATGTATATGTAGTGTAATTAATGCTTACTATTATTATTGACATTTCGATTGTTAAATCTTAAATTTAATGAATACTATAAAATTAAAATCAATAATCTATAAAATATATAAGTATGTAAATGGATGTATGTATATAGGGTTGAACATTAAATTCTGTAATTTTTAATTCTCTTTTAATTTTTACATTAAATCTTACATAAAACTAGTTCTTTATCTTTATAATACAATGATTGTTTTGTAAAATAAATTTTCTTTGTTCTTTTAACGCATAAAATTTTCATAGCATAATAGCGGCGAGCGGCGTATACCGACCGACATAACTACTCATAAAATTCATTGTTGTGCTCAATCTTCAGTTTATTTAATTATTACTTTTAACCTTGCTATATGAGCATAAGTTCAAAAGCCACGAGAAAAAAAACTATGGAATTGGAAAAAAAAAATATTGTGACTTTTAGACAAGTTATATGATTAGGAAGTATAGTGGAAGTGATAATTGGCTCCTTTTTTTTTTTGGTTATAAATTCGAGAGAACAAAATAGAACAAAAAAATAATTTTCTATCTTGTGTTTTTTTTTTTTTTTTTACATTTCCATTCATCCTTGTTATCAAAGGGATTTATCGGATTGAAAATTTTCTGATTGTTGTTCTTGCTCTGTTTTTCTTTTTTTTTGTTATTATGAAAGTGCATCACTGCTTCAATTTGACTTTCTCATTGGATATCGTGGTGAAGGAAAAAAAAAAATAAATCACTTCAAATAGTTGAAAAGCAAAAAATGAGAAAAAAAAAATAAAATTTGAACTTTCCGCTCGAAAAAACGATTTTTTTTGTATGTTTTTTTTTTTTCTGTGTTTATAGTTCTAAAACAATTGAAAACAAAAACCAACTGTCTAAGTATTTTTATTATGGGTAGCCGAAATTTTTTTTTTCTCAATAAGAATTCTATATTTAGGAGAATTTATAGTTCAATAAGCTGTTCCAAAACTATATTATTGTCGATAAATTTGTTTTTTTGAAATTAAATTGGAAAAAGATTTATTTTTTTTTTGGTTTTAGATGTCCTGAAGTATATGTATTCAATTTCCATGTAAGTACACGTACAGTATATACACATATGCACGGCCACATAAGGTATACGTATGTAAGTATTTCAGAAAACTATTATAAACAAGAAGAATTTTTCATTTTATACAACAGTTTTAGCTTAACAGCAGCAGCCTATTATCATCACATCAGTAACATATGAATGATGTTAAAATTCATATTAGTCAAGAATGACAGCAAGAAAATTAGAAAACAATAAAAAAATATAAGAAAAATATTTTTGAAAAAAAAAAGAGGAAAATATAAGAAGCAAATAAACAAAAATGAAAAGTTAAAAGGGCATAGATCAATACGAACTCTGTGAATTACCTATATATATATATATGCATACAATCAACCATACCATATGTGTTGTATTGTACGTATTGTAAGTATTGAACCTAAACAAATAAATAAAAAAAAAAAAATATGACTAAAATATCAAATGGCATTTCAACCGAATTTATTAAATCATAAAAATAAATATTTATGTTTAATAAAAATTTCATCCATATACCACCATACATAATATTATATCTATATACACAATCGACATACTTATATTAATGTTATAATATTTTTGTATATATTAATATCCGTATAGGTAGGTACAATTGTATTTTAAAATTCTTTATTATTTTGTTAAAATTTTGGTTTTTGTTTTTAGTACATTTCCAACTAAATCAATGGACAAGACGGAAAATTTAGATTTGCGAACTTATATTATTAAATATTTAATTTAATGTCCGCCTAATCATTAATCTAGTTTAACTTGCTAGTGCTTGCACAGATCCCTTAAAGTTCTATATGAAGAATTAGATATAGAAGGGGTGAGCTCCATCAACTATTAAGGAAGTATCATAAGGCCTACTGGAGGGACACCTGAAGATATACATAATAGGTTGAGAAAAGGGAAGATTGCTTTCGATAATCTCCACAAGATATGTAAATTACAAGAACTATCCAGAAAAACAAAAATTAACATCTTCAACGCCTGTGTAAAACCTGTAATCCTATATTGTAGTGAAATTTAGAGCTTCAACAGACAGGATATAGAGAAAATACAGGTATATGTTAACAAGAGTCTCCGTATTATCTGTAAAATTTTCTGGCCAAGGTGAATAACCAACAAAGAACTCTGGGCAATAACAGCACAAGAACCCATTCTAACATAGATCAGAAAGCGAAAACGGAGATGAATTAGTCACATGTTGAGAAGAAATAATAACTCCGTGGCGAAACAAGCGCTAGAATGGGACCCATAAAGCGCAAGAAGATTAGGTCGTCCAAGAAGCACATGGAAGCGCACAAAATTGAAAGAAGTGGAAAAAATTGGCAAAACATAGGCCTAAATGAAACAACTGGCTCAGAATCGAGTTCGTTGGAGGCTCTGCATAGAAGTCCTATGCTCACAAGTAGAGTAAATAAGGAATGAGAAAACTTGCTAGTATTATAAAAGATAAAATAAGAGATTCAGGCATCAGCAGAGAGTAAGGATCGGCAGACATGAGAATTTTAAGACATGACATGAGAATCTTTGTGTGCCATATAAGGTTAAGTTAGAGCAGCGTAAGGTTTAGAGACGCCGCAATACATTGTGGGAGTAATGTTAGAGAATGAATGAATGTGATATCCAAAACATTTACACATACATAGACAAGGGGGGAGATGTCAAAAGAGGACTAATTTTCTGATCAAATAGAATGAAACGGTCTGGCTTGAAGTAAAGCACATAGCAGCTCCGGATAATATTTACCATTTTCTAGCAAGTATACATGGTTACATATCAGAGTTAGGCGACAGTTCCATGCTATTAGCGTGTAGTCAATCTATAAAGGTTTTGACGAATTTGGCTTATATGGCCAAGGGCATAAATAATTAATGTGCTGCTATAGACAGACCATTCTGGCTAACATATGTAAGACCAAAATTAAGATTTTTACTGATATATT